AGTCTCACTCACTATCCTTGCCTGTGAGGAGCGTTCTGGCTGTCCTGCTTCCAGGACAGATGCGTGTGTCCTTTTAGCGGCCCATGGTACGTTCAATCTTCTCCTGCACCGTCATTCAAACGCACGATCCTTCTTCAGTCTTCCTTATTCAGTGTCCAACTGTCACGTGCCCAAGAGGAGACAGAGAGGACCATGGCTTCGGTCCAGCGTACCTTAGTCCTCAAAGGAACCTCCCTGCTTTTCAACACTCTCAAGAGGTCTGGTGCAGCGGATTCACCCCTTGCGATGTGTCTTTTATCTCTTGACTGCTGCTCCCATGAGCACTGATTGTGGATCCAAGCAAGATGAAATCCTTGACAACTCCGATCTTTTTATTTATTTATCTTTAAGACTCGCTTTATGGGGGGTGGGGGGATAACATTCCATACATCAATTGTATCCAGCATATCTGTACATGCGTTGCCATCATCATTTTCTAAACATTTACGTTCTCTTTGAGCCCTTGGTATCAGCTCCTCTTTTCCCCCTCCTTCCTGACAACGCCAATCTTTCTCTGTTTATGAAGATGTTACTTATGGGTCCAGTTGTGAGGATGTTGGTGTTCTTCATGTGGTAGGCGGTGCCAAAAAAGGTCATAGGTTCTAATCCCCTTTGAGGTGCCTTGGGGGAAGACCTGGCAGTCTACTGGAGGGGAACCAGCGCTGAACACTAGTCCTCTGGGGTACCGTTCCACTCACTTGGGGTTGTCATGAGTCAGAGTGGCACAATGGCGAGTGGCTCACGTGGCCCCCAGACGCACCCATGCTGCCTCTCTGAGTCTAAAGGGCTGGTGAGACTGCCCACCGGCAGCCCAGGTCCCAGGAACTGAAGTGATCTGAAGGAAGAGCAGACACCAGTCTGGGCTCCGTGCCTCTTTCCTGCCATCACCCATCACTCTCAGGCTGCCTGGGCTGTGCAAGGGCTCCCCGCGGCCCACACTGGTTCTGTGCCCACGATGGTCCACTGCAGAGCTTCCTGGTTGGGAAGACCATTGTCTACCGGCCCGAGGCTCCAGCTTTAACCTTAAGAGATGGAAACTCAAACCAAAAATAACCAACCAACCAATGATCTCCGGTGGACCGAGCTATGACCCTACCCCTGATCCTTTCAACAAAACTAGCTCTCCTTGTGCCACCTCATTGAGTACATAGGACCCAGCTGGAGGCAACAGCGCCAGTCCTCATGATCGTCTTTGTACTTGAAGTCCTACATTTTCCGGTCCTTTGAACTCTCTGCCTGTCAGCCTTTGATGTCGGCTTCTTGCTTTTGCAACCAGTTTGGTCTTGCTTCTCACCTCTTGGCTTGACACTGACTGGCTTTCAGTGCCACCGTAGCTTCAGATAAAGGGCATGGTTCTGCCCACTCCAGTCCCAGGGAACTATCATACCAGTGTCATAGTAGGGTCTGTGGCAAGAAAGAAGGCACACAGGATGTGTGGGAAGGCCTGTGTGTGAGACAGGAACAGGGTGATCCATTTGAATGGTGACAGCTCTCCAGCCTTCCTTTCACCTTGGCCACGTTACTAGGAGATTCTGGAGAGGACAAAACACAGGGTCAGGTAGTGGCAGACTGCTAACCTCTAGGTTGGCAATTCAAACTCGCCAGCGGCTTCTCGGGGAGCATGTTAAGAATGTCCCCTCTGGTAGAGATTTAGACTCAGAAATCTTATATGGCATCTCTATGAGTAGGAATCCACTCAGCCGCAGGGCGCTCAGTACTTCTGGTTGTCCTGCATTAAAAAAAAAATCATTTTATTGGGGGCTCACACAACTTTTATCACAATTCATACATACGTCCATTATGTCAAGCACATTTGTACTTTTGGGGATCATCTGTCCTGGATTCCTTGTGTTTCCAGTTTCTATCTGTACCCGTGTACATCTTCTGGTGTACTCGATTTGTAAGGTAGAATTGGGATCATGGTAGTGGGGTGGGAGGGCAGGGAGGAAACATTTAAGAACTAGAGGAAAGTTGTATGTTTCATCGTTGCTACACTGCACCCTGACTGGCTCATTCTCCTCCCAACGATCCTTCTGTAAGGGGATGTCCAGTTGCCTATAGATGGGCGTCGGGTCCCCAATCTGCCCGCCCCTCATTCACAATGATATGATTTTTTGTTCCTTGATGTCTGATACTGGATCCCTTCGACACCTCGTGATCACACAGGCTGGTGTGCTTCTTCCATGTGGGCTTTGTTGCTTCTGAGTTAGATTGCCCTGCATTTTTTAAGGAGGTCTGGTGGCACTGTGGGTAAAACATTCAGCTTCTAACTACAACATCAGCAGTTCAAACCTACCAGCCTCTCCGCAGAAAAAAAGGGGAGACTGTCTGCTCCTGTAAAGACTTCAAGGCAAAGAAATCCTAGGGAACCAACCGTGCTGCCCCGCCCTTTGGAGCGACTGTGAGTTGGAATTGACTTGGCACAGAGGATGGGTTGGAAAGCAGAAGGGACCTGGGACAGCTTACCTCTCTTGCTGTTGATCAATCTATAGCTCATTTTGCCGTGCTGGAGGGATGAGTTAGGTAAGTACAAAGGTCTGACCAGCCCAGTGAGTCACCTCCCCTGCAATGACCCAGGGCTGTCCCATTATTTACAAGCGACCTGACCTGAGGGGTGAGAACAAGGCACGGACTTCAAACCACCGGCGCCTACTTTTCACATCAAGGGACCGATCAAAATTGTCTTCCAACCGTTCACCCGCAGAACCAGTTCAATGCTTTTTACGAGCTATTATTATCTAGGTATGTCCGTAGCCTAGGATGAGAACCTGAGTAGTTTGATCGAACAGAATTCCGAACATGTCTTTCCACCTCTCAAAACCACCTCTGCCTTTGCCGCACTCACACCTGTGGTCAAAGGGGCACCCCTGTCCCCGAGTCCTGCCCATTTCTCTGAGTTCTTCCTCTTGCCACAGGCCCGACTGATGCTTCTTGTGAACTCCACAGCTCTGCTCTTCCCTCTGCCTGCAACACCCGCTCTCCTCCTGGTCCTCCTTTCGTTCACCTCCAATGTCACCTTGGAGAGAGGTCTTCCCCCATCGCCCTACTTAGAGCAGCAGCCTCAGCTGGCACAAGGACCTGTCCCATTTTTCTTCACAGCCCTCAACTTTTTAAAAATAATTTTTAGTAATCCAAGTGAGCTTATTTTATTTTTTTTTAATTTTATTAAAAAGATCATTTTATTGGGGACTCTTACAGCTCTTATGACAGTCCATAGATCAATTGTATCAAGCACACTTGTACATATATTGCCATCATTATTTTTCTAAAGATTTACCGTCTACTTAAGCCCTTGGTATCAGCTCCTCTTCCCCTCCCCCCTCTCCACCTCTCGTGTCCTTTTGATAAATTACAAATTATTATTTTCATATCATACATCAACTGCTGTCTCCCCCCCACGGTTTCTGTTGTTTGTCCTCAAGGGGTGTGTGGTGCGTGGTTTATGTGTCCATCATTGCGATCTGTTCCCCCTTCCTCCCTTCCTCTCCCCACCTTTCCCCTGCCCTCCTGGTATCATTGCTACTCCCATTCCTGTTCCTGGTTTCTGTGTGTCCTGAGCTCTTATCTCTTATCTGTATGTGTGCACATACTCTGGTCTCGCCCCGTGAAAGGCAGGACTGGGGTCATGATAGTGAGGGGTGGGGAAGCCTCAAGGAACCAGAGGAATATTGTGGGTTTCATTGGTGCTTACTGTGCCCTGGTTGACCCATGCTGTCCTGGTGATGAGGCTGGACATCAAACCGAAGATGCATCCAATCACTTCAGGCTCACAGTGACTTTTAGTTTCCCAGAGTTTATATAGGATTTTTTTTTTTTTGGTGAGCAGATTAGCCTCAACTTCCTCCCTGGGAACCGCTGGTGGGCTTCAACCCCCAACCAGGACATTAGCAGCCCAATGTTTAGGGGTCCGGAGCCCCTCACTAGGAGCGAGGTGACGGAGT